TTCCACACCAGGTCTGAGTGCCCAGTCACATCCCCTTGGCAATGGCAGCTCTTGGGAAGGTTTCTGGTGAGAAAGGCAGGAGAATCTTGTCAGTGGAAGCTGTTGAGAATCTAAACCTTCCTCCATGGGCAGCAAAGCTGCTCAGTGCCCAGCAGAACTGGCATCTCCCCTCAGTTGGGAATGCAGGAAGCTCCCAATGGAGCAGCCACAGCCACGTCTGTGTGAGAGTTTCTGTAGTGTGGGACCCAGAGAGACCACAAGTCTGTGGCTGTTCAGGATACTGGTGATGAGATGATGGGAGCAACACTGCATCCATTGTGCACTGTCCACCCGCACATCACACCAGAGCCGCGTTCCCCAGAGATGGCCTTGCTCTGGCGCTGCCAGCATGTGTGACCAGTGTTCCCCGGAGGCGGAAGTATCTATTCACTAATGTCTGTCTCCCTCTCTCTTTCCAGCTCTGCAAACTCTAGGACAGGACACATCACAGGAGATCCAAGATGTGGCCACTCAGGTCTCAGAGACCATTTCTAAAAGTCCTTGGGGCAGCACGCTGCAAGAGGAGGGAAACCATGGGCGTACCCTGCCTCATATCACTTCTTTACTTTGTTTTGGGTGCCTAAAGCCCCGTTCCATTTAAAAACGAGCCCTATATTTGGACATGTTTGATATAAAATTGTGTTTTACGTTCTTCTGGCTGTTGTTGCTTCTCTCCTCCTGAACACAGCAGACAGAGAGGAGGTTGAAGCCTTGTAGCTTCAGGAGTGTGTGTCTGCATGGTTTGGGCATCTTGTTTTTTTGGTGGCCAGTGAGCTGGGCATAGGTGTTACCACACGTGAACCAGGAGGTGGGGCTCTGCCAGGCAGACAGGGTAGGTACAGATGTTTGGGGAGGTTAGGGGAAGGATAGATTGGGTTAAATATGGCCACCTGATCTAACTGAACTTCTGTACAGTTCCTAGCACAGCCCTGGGGTTTGGAAAACCCAGCCACTGGCCCCAGCCCTGGGGCTGCTCTTTTCCTAGCCCCCACCCCCTGACACCAGGTTATTTTTAGCCCCCTAACCCCTGTCCCCCACACCATTGTTTGTGGACCATCCAGCCACCCTAGACTGCCAACCCCTAGACAGCAACAGTGGGGCACAGAGCCCAGCCTGCAGCAGCAGCCCACCTCTTCCCTGCGGACAAATCTGGGGCGCATGTGCTCCCCGGGCCTCTCCCAAGGTTTGCACAGTGGTGGGAGTCCCCCTTCCCCGCTCCTGGGCTCTGAGCATCCCACAACCTACCCTGGGGCCCCATTCACCCCAGCCCCTGCCCCTGTCCCCAGAGAATAAGCATTGGCATCTGTGTTCTCTCTGAGGGGTTTTGAAACATGGGTAGAGCAGGCATGAGCAGTCACAAGCTCAGGTGAGCAAAAAATGGGTTTTCTGTCTTACAAATAAAAAAATGAGATCTAAAAATGCTTTCTCTTCTGCATCAGGATAAAACTGACCTGAGGAAATATAGTGCAGTAGTCCTGTCATTGCAGGCTGTGAGATCCTGGATCCAGCTTCACTCCAGCCACAGCTTTCCCTGGCTTGAATATATTCTCTGAAGCTGGTGCCTCTCTAGACAGGTTCCCTGACCCTGTGCCAGACTCAGAGACAGACTCTGGGGAGGGATGCTATGCAATTCCACATTAGCCTTTGCTCTGAAAAGCTTTGGTTTTCCATTGGGCGTTTTGCCCATACTGCGGAAGGCAGGCTAGCCTTGTAGACAGAGCACCGGGCCCAGCAGTCACAACTCCTGGGTCTTCTTGGTTCACAACTTATTGGGCTCAGTACAGTTAATTACTGCATATTGGGTGACCTTTTCTGGCTTGTGCTAGGCAGGGAGCCAGAGCACCTAATTGCAATCAAGCCTTCTAAAATCTATTAACGCCTTAATTAAAAAAAAGCCTTCTAAAATCTATTAACGTATTAATAGCCTTAAAATCTATTAACGGCAAAATCTGCAGAACACGGGATTTCTTGCCCTTTCCCCCTTTGGTGCCAAGTTCTAAGCAGTATTACACCTGAAAGCTGTGCATTAAATGTTGCTTCTTCCATTATGAATATTTCATTTTAAAAATCAGATAAAACTTGATATCTTTCATGTGTCAGGTATCCGATTCTAGCTGTATTGGTGTAGAGGAAAAGGCAATCAGGACTCGTGGTAGAGGTGATATCGTTTATTAGACCAATCAGACTTTTGCAAAAAAATTCTTTAATTGCAGGCTTTATCAAATTGCAAGCTTTATTGAAGATATTGAATTCTTGCTGATTTTTTTAATGAAATCATCATTTTACAAGAAGGAAGCAAGTTTCACCACCTGAATCTGGAGATCCTGCTCCTGCCTTTGTTCGAGGTAATTTGCATCATCACAGAGCCTCATCACAGAGCTCAGAGGCACCTCACACATAAGAAATGCCTGCCCAGGAGAGCACCCCACCTATTTACTCCTCTGTGAAACAGGAAACACCATAACCAGAAGGAAATATGACTACATCCTGCTTACCACCAAACAACTTAAAGGTAACCAACTATTCCAACTTTTCTCTGAGTCTAATCTGCATCTAAAACGATCTGTTCCAAACAGCAGATATTACCACACTTTCAACTCTCCTATGAAATATGAACTTTAATTTCTACCCAGGAGAACTTTTACAACCTCTCTGATGCCTGAAGAAGGCTGTTTGTGCCTGAAAGCTTGCAAATAAAGACTTTTTTTTGCAAAAATCTAGTTGGTCTAATAAAAGATATCACCTCTACCAGGAGTCCTGATTGCTTTCTCCTCTAGACCAATACAGCTAAAACCTAGATACCTGACAGTGTGAATTAGGCACACTTTTCGAGAATCCCACTACTCACATCTCAGCACTGTTAGACACCTAAATACTTTTAAACAGATCTGGCTTTGTCTACTTGAAGAGAAACCTATTGTGAGAGGGCAGGATCAGGGATTGAAAGAAGCAAAGCCTTAGGTGGTATTCTCAAAGCCTTTCAGATGATGACAGAATTACTGAGAACTAGTGCAATCGCCTTCATCCATGTACTAATAAGGGGCAGGACCAGTGACAAGCAGCTGTCAACATAGGACGGTAACTGAAATTGTGAGGGGAAGAAAGATGGAAACAATTTTGCAGGCTTCAGCCAGGGAACACCTTAACAAAGGCCCTATCTGATGAGACACACACTGTGCTGATGAATAGACGGGTCTTTTTTAACGAACCTGATGGCACAGTAACATAAGAGAGATGCAGAAGATTTTCAGTGCAGCAGGGGCACTGCCTGGCCATAGGCCACAGCTTGCATCTTACCCATGGAAACTCATGGTTGTCATGCGAGGCCACAGGGAACAGGGCAAGTGTAGTGTTCACCTTTAAGAAAGGGAAGAAAGAGGACCTGGGGAATTACTGACCAATCAGTTGGACCTTGATGCCAGGAAATATCATATAGCAGGTCCTCAAAGAATCTATTTCTAAGCATGTGGAGAACAAGGTGATCAGGAACAGCCGGCATGGATTCATCATTAGTAAGCTAAGGAAATACAGGCTAGATAGAGGTACTGTAAGAGAAATACACAACTGGTTGGGTCATTGTGCTCAACTAGCAGTAAGCAATGGCTCAAGGTCCAGTTGGATGGAGATATTAACTGGGATTCCCCAGGGGCCTGTCCTAGGCCCAGTATTGATTAATATTGCCATTAATGATTTGGAGGATTAGCTTGAGCACGCGTTTAGCGAATTTGCAAATGGCATCAAGTTGGGTGGAATTCCAGACACTGGAGGGTAGGGCTCGACTCCAGAATGACCTGGACAGACTGGAGAAAGGGTCCAAAATCAACTAAATAATATTCAATAAGGACAAGGGCAAAGTTCTGCACTTAGGATGGAACAACTGCAGGCACAAATACAGACTAGGGAACAGCAGGCTAGGCTGCAGTGCTGCAAAAACGATCTGGGTCACAGTTGTTCATCATCTAAATATGAGCCACCAATGTGCTCTTGTTGCAAAAAAACTAAGAGCATACTGGGTTGTATGAACAGGAATGTCACTTGCAAGTCAAAGGAAGTGATTCTCCTACTCTGTTCATCACTGGCGAGGCCTCACCTAGAGTCCTACATCCAGTTTTGGGCCCTACACTTCAAGAAAGATGTGGACAAATAAGAGTTCAGCAGAGGGCAACCAAAATTATTAGAAGCCTGAGAAATATGACTTACTAGGAAAGGCTGAAAGAACTAGGATTGTTTAGTCTGAAGAGGAGAAGACTGAGGTGGGATTTGATAACCATCTTTTAATACCTGAAGGATGGTTATAAAGATGATAGATGTAGGCTATTCTCTGTGGCTGCAGGAGAAAGGACTAGGAGCAATCATCCCCTTAAAATTCACGTGCAGTGACGGGGGAGCTCCCACACACACACACACACACACACACACACACTATGCCTGTGAACTTTCCCAGGGTTAGAGTCTTTCAGGTTAGATAGAGACTACGCAGCAATGACAACTCTGGTGATTTCATTGCGAGTCTTGCGATATGTGGTGATTTTCTTAAAGCCCCAGTTCCCGGCAACCATATCATTAGGTGAATATCTTAGCTTTCATTTGAAAGCACAGGGCCAAGTGGAGGTGGCACAGTGCCTGATTCAGCCTGTGCTCCTCATTGGGCCCACAACACCAAAAGGTTGAGCACCACTGATGTAGAAGACAGGGCAGGGAAGCACCTTGGAGACTAACCATTAATAGAGGCCAAGACACAGAGTTGTAGTTCAGTTTCCAACCACGAGGGGGAAGGGCTCAGCATGTACATTGACTAGAACAGCACCAGAGCTTGTGAGCTGGAAGCATGGGTGACTTCTGCTTTAAGGAAGCACCCCAAGGTGCTTCTTGAATAACAAGGAGCATTGTTTGCAGTGGTTATACAATTCCACACATGTGCACGCACAGGTTTTACCTTCTAAAATATAAGAGAGCAGAGTCACCAGACCAGAAAAACAAGGCTCAGAAGTGGGAAAGGCTGGCAAGGGTTTCTAGGCAGGAAGTTCCTTATCAGGGAACAGGCTTCTGTCTCTAGTTCAGAAACCTGGGGATCTACTAGCCTGCCAGCTCCTGCACCGTTGCACACTGAGGTGTGTGTACACGGGAGGCAAAAGGCATTTGGGAGCTCGATTGCTTCCTTTCACCCACATACGTGCATGCGTGCACGCACACATACTTGCACACCCCCCCTCCCCAAGATGTACAAATGCACGCTTGGCATGGTGAGCTCAAATGCAAATGCAAGCAGGTCGGTAGCTCTGCAGCCTGGTACGGGGCAACCAGCACAGACCAGAGTCGAAGCAGCAAGAAGTTTGCGTCCTTCAGAAGGGCTTCACCTGGGTTGGGGAACCAGTGCCCGAGCTCGCGTTCCAGCTTGCAGAGTTACTCATGACGAAGGCTCTGATCTTTTGGACCATATGTTCCCTGTTGTGTAAGTACTGGCTTTTACTTCCTTTCAACCAGAGGCTTTGCTGACCTTGACTGTTCTGCTGTAGCAGGATTAGCCTAGCAAGGCTGG